TAAAAAGCGTGTCTTAGCAACAAAACTTTTTTGAACTCTTAAGTCTATGTTAAAGTGGCTTTTTTAAAACAAAGCAGTATTTACCATTAAACTCAATTCCAGTATAGATTAAAAAACTGCTAGTGCCAATTTATAGAAGGTTGCAAGACAATCAACTACCAATGAAACCCCCTCAATTTGAGGTGGGTGTAAACTTTATAAAAACAACAAGAGATTATTGAATCAAATTTGAAATTTGTCAATGAATATAAATTAACTTAAAGATAAAAAAAAACGAAAAAAAAATTGACTCATTGCCTTCCTGTTTGGGGCTGGAGGGGGCTAACGTTTTAGGGTAAAATACCTAAAAAATAAGTAGGTAGCAAATTTCTTTTTTTAATAGGATACGGTAAAATTAGGCTTAAGCTTAGTATACTTAAGATTCTCCCAATATAAGCCTAACATTTTGCGTAAAGAATGCTTAAAAAGTGCATAAACCACCTTCTGTTTATTATTAGTTAAGGTTTGTTTTTAAGTATCTTCAAAACTTTACACTGAATTTTAGTTAACGCATCGACACACTCGTAGTCGTGCTACACACGAGTACGAGTGTGTCAACGTGTTAACTGGAATTCAGTATAAAGTTTTGAAGATACTTAAAATCAAATCTTAACTAATAAAAAGCAGCTAATTGTTGCAATTTTTAAGCATTATTTACTCCAAATTTTAGGCTTATATGGGGAGAATCTTAAGTATACTAAGCTTAAGCCTAATTTACCCGTATCCTGATGAAAGAAATTTTTTTTAAGAAAATTTGGAAAAACACAAGCAACGTATATACACGTTGCTTTCCATTGCTTGCCTTGGATTCAGTACATGTACTGAGTCCTAGGCAAACAATGGAAGTACTATTACTTTACATACGTTTATTGTCTTGGTTTTGCTGTATTGTACATATAATTTAGTTAAATTAATATTATCCGCAAAAACCCGGTTTGTTTCCTATCTTTAACCTTATGTAATAAAGTCTTTTTTCCAATTTTTAGCAATTTTAAAACGTTGTTCCAATATTAAGCAACTTAAAAACGTTTTTCCAATACAGTTGACTCTTGATATCTCGACTATTCGATATCTCGAACTTTTGTGTATCTCGAAATTTATTTCCGGTTCCTTGCGCACTCATTTGAGCCAACATTCTCTCGATACCTTGATATCTCGAACGTTTTTCCTGGTCCCCTGAGAGTTCGAGATACCAAGAATCAACTGTATTTAGAAATTTTAAATAAAGGACAATTTAAAACGCTCTCCAGCGTAAATGATGTCAGGTAAATTTACATATTTAACTTAAATACAACATCGTACTAACTAATTTTCTTTTTTGTGATATTTCGGTCTAATTTGTGTAGACCATCATTAGACGTAAAATACAATTTAAAAAATCGTTACAATATAAAATTTAAAAACCATAAAGAAGCCATTACAAAGACAACGTCAACAAAAATTGTTTTGATTTTCTTAAATAGTGGTCTCCAACTATTTAAAGCAACTATTACCCCGTTATCTCTGTTAAGCAATACTGGGAATAGTTTAACCTCCTGAGATGTTTGCGCATAGTTAATTTCAAGCTATTCCCTTATTTTCCTTTCATGATAATTGTTATTTATAGATAAAGTTTTTGGGTGCAGCCAGTCCAATATCCCATGGCATTCTTTGCAATGCTCAGTAGCTCCAGAAGCATGCCAATTACCATTCATGCTATTAATTTGGTGTTCAATGCTTCTTTGAAAAATTCTCTTTTTTGTTTCCCCAATATAAATTCCCACACACGAACACGTAGGCTTGTACACCCCAGTGTTGCTGTTTGGCATTAAACTAGACTTGTTGTTACAGAGAATTGTTTTTAAATTAGGTGTATAATGTCAAATAACTTTGACATTATATGTTTTAAGTGTTTTTCGTAGTTTTGGTCCAAGTGTTGGTAGCCAAGGTAACTTTATTATCGCAAATTAATTTTCTAGTTTTTTTTGCAACTTTACTGTTGGGATTGTTTATACTTAAAAGGTAATTTGCGGTAATCGTTTCTAGATTTGATCTCTTTTGACCGTTTTCAACAAACATATCTATTATAGAATGAATCTTGTTGTTAATGTATTTTTCGGAGCAGATTTTAGTGGCTTGTGATATAAAACCTTTAAAATTGATATTTGAGTCGGGTTTTTTTTGTATGTTTGTTATTGCTTCTTTACGGTAGACTTTGAAATCATAATGGTAATTATTTGTGTTAGTTATTTTTATATCTAAAAAATTTATTTCTCTCTAATTATTTTTAACCTCTGACGTGTACTGAATATTGGAATTTTGTTGATTTAATAAAATAAGAAATTTGTTTTTCAACTGATTCAAATCTTACGTGGCTATCATCAACATACCTTCTATAAAATTTTGGTGAAAAATTGTTGATTTTTGCAATATGCAGAGCTCTTGTTTCCAATCTTTGTAAGAATTCCTCGGCTTTTACAACGCCACCTAATTTAAAAACAATTCTCTGTAACAACAAGTCTAGTTTAATGCCAAACAGCAACCCTGGGGTGTACAAGTTTACGTGTTCGTGTGGGGGAACTTATATTGGGGAAACAAAAAAGAGAATTTTGCAAAGAAGCATAGAACACCAAGCAACAACAACAATAACAATATATTTTGTGTTACAGATGTTACAAAAACACAGGTCATTGCAAATAGTGATTCACTAATAAAGCGCAATGACCTTAATAAGATAAAAAATAATAATAACAGTAATAATAATAATATGAAATAAGTAAAACCACATAAAAAAATAGATTATAAAAGGAAGTTAAATAACATAATATTAACTAATAAAAGTAAAATTGCATAAAAATTAATTTTGTTATACCAAAAAAATCAGACTTTTTGAATATATATAACATAATTAATATAATGTACATTTATATATGCACATATACTTTAACAAGAATTATAATAAAATTAGTAAATTATAAAAAAATTATAAATTAAAATAAAATATTAAAAATAAAATTATAATAAAATAATAAACTATAATAAAAATAAAAAATAAGTCAAAAGGTAGAAAGAAAGAAAAGTAAAAAGTAAAGTTAAGCGTATCCTTTTAGGTAGAAATGATGGAGTGACTTTAAGAACAGACTCTTGAACCTATGGATGAGACCAGATTTTAGGGTGTTCGGAAGGGAGTTCCAAGAAAGGATACACTGGTATGTAATGGAATTAATTCCATGTTTACTTGTCTGTTTTAGTGGAAGAGTTAAGTTGTTATAGGTGACTGATCTTAGGTTGTGCCCACATGTTGTTCTCTTATTAAAGTAGTTGTGAAATATAGTAGGAAGGACACCATGTTGCTGATCCTAGACAAATGAACAATTTAAGAACTGAATTAAGTCATAAAAGCAAGAATTTTGGATGTAAGATATAGGATGTCAGTAGGAAAATTTATTGGACAAAAATGAATAATCGGTACCGTTCTATTTTGAAGTGAAACAACTCTAGAGAGACACGCGGTTTTAGATTGTCCCCAAACTTGACATGCATATCGTAAATGTGAACCAAAAATTGAGTGATATATAGAGAGCAATGTTTCAAAGTTAACGTAATGTCGAATTTTTGCTAACATGCCGTTGGAACGGCTTAACTTCAGAGTAAGGTCGGATATGTGTGTTTTGAATGAAAGTTTTTCATCTAAAACAACACCAAGATAAGTTATGTTACTAGACAAGTACATTTTTTGACCACTTAATCGAAAGTTCAAGTATTTTGGAATATTTTTCTTAGTCTTTTTAGAAAAGTTAGTATTTTGAGTCTTTAGTATTTTTTAGTATTCAATGAGATTTTATTTGCTCTAAGCCATTGAACAAGACTGGCCATATCCTGATTAATATGTTTATTAAGTTTTTTGAGAGAGTTTGTTATTAATTGAAAATTAGTATCATCAGCAAAATGATACGTTTTTGAATGTTTGATAGAAAGATTAAGATCATTAATACAAAAATTAATAGCATGAACGGCAATTGGCATGCTTCTGGAGCTACTGAGAATTGCAAAGAATGCCATGGGATATTCGACTGGCTACACCCAAAAACTTTATCTATAAAAATTCCCAGTACTGCTTAACAGGGATAACGGGGTAATAGTTGCTTTAAATAGTTGGAGACCACTATTTAAGAAAATCGTAAAAAAACAAAACAATTTTTGTTGACGTTGTCTTTGTAATGGCTTCTTTATGGTTTTTAAATTTTATATTGTAACGGTTTCTTAAATTGTATTTTACGTCTGATGATGGTTTACACAAATTAGACCGAGATATCACAAAAAAGAAGATTAGTTAGTACGATGCTGTTTTGATGTTTTACAACTTATTTTAACTTTACGTACAACAAGAAATGTCGCTAAAACACTTAAATACAAATATATAGAAGTACTTTAAAAGTACGAAAACTTAAATCATTAATAAACTAATCGAAACATTACAGTGAAAAAGAAAAGAAAAAAAAAATAAAGAAAAAGAAAGTATCGTTATTAGCCTTTCCATTGATTGAAAATATTATAAACTTTTTTTATCGATTAAACTTATTCGAATTAAAAAGTTTTCGAATATTTGATAAATACTGAAAATTTTTATCAAATATACACTGAAATCTTTTGTTCTATATATATATATATATATATATATATATATATATATATATATATATATATATATATATATATATATATATATATATATATATATATATATATATATATATATATATATATATGTAGATTGTTTAATGTATTACTAGTAATAACACAACAAATTTATTTTAAAAATTCTTATTAAAGTTTTATTTTACACTAAAATTACGTATCAAAATTGAATTTACCAAATGTTATCATTTATAAAACAGCTTAAAAAGAAAATTGTAAAACCTGGTTTATTATAGAAAATGAAAAAAAAAACATTGTTGAAGAATAAAGAATAGCTATGAAAAGACTGGCTTTAAATTTTTTATACTTATTTGCTAAAAAAAAGCAACCTGATCGAATATCCAATAACGAAACCAAGACTGAAGTTGCAAACGAAACAATGATATGTAGCTATAGTTTGAAATACAAATTAGAGGAGATTTTAGAAAACCGTCTTATAGTTTCGGTAGCAAAAGTACAACCAATCTGTCAAAATCACCCAAAGTTAAAAAAATCTAAAAAAAAGAATTTCAAAAATATGCAATCTACAGTAGTTTTGGACAATATTCTTATACCAACATGGTTTTCACTGAAAAATAAATATATCGTTGAATACTGTATCGAATTACTAAACGATCACGAACAATTTTCAAATAAGTTAATAAATACAGAAAACCAGCCAATTAAAGCTAACCGTTATGACAAATCAAATCATAAATCTTTAGCTGATGTTTTATCTAGTTTTGATGCTGTTTTAAGATTAGAAGAAAGTTGGCGCTTGATGAAAGAAGCATCAACTGACGGAATTAATCCATTTTCTTATTATGTCGATAAATTAGTGCAAGTAAGAAAAATAACAGAGAAAAGTCGCTTTATAAAAGATTCAGAAATGTTCTTTCAAATATACCAATCTCGTTCAGGTTTTTATTGATTGTTTTACATATATAATTTACAAAAAGTACCTGGCGATATTCCTGTGATTCATTCTTGAAGGCGTGCGTATAATTAAAACGACGTTTTTCATAATCTATTTTCTAATGTTATTATTTAAAAAGTAGTATCATAGTAAAACGTGTATTTATAATGATACTAAAATCCAATTCCGTGTTTAAAAAAAAAAAAATTGATAAATTATTTTAGGCAACATTGAGCCCTTATTGGATAAATCTTACTGGGGAAGTCGTCAACAACTTTTATCTGGAAAAGTAATTGCTGATTTTGTTGCTGAACACTACGGTTTTTTAGATCCAGTTTTTGGTGTTTTGTTGAACCCAACTACAGGTAAAAAAATATATAAAACTTTCATTTATTCAAGTCGCGAATGAGCATATAATGTTATAAACAGATTAAAAAATTTTTGTTTTCAATAGGAAGAGTTGGACCTGGTGACGGTGGTTTAATGCACAACATTCTATTTGATAATGATGGACCTTGGGCTTGTCACACAGCTGTTCACGATGCATTCGGATATTTAAAGACATTCCATAATATTGGACCAGGCTACAATTACTTAGGTGGGATTTCAGCGTTTGAAACTGAACACTGTATGGCTGGACAGTCGTGTGGTTTACTGTTCTGGAAAGAAACTTTAATAAAAGTAAAAGAGTTAAACATGTAAAACTCTATGATGCTAAGAAGTACAAATTCCAAACATATTGAGAATAATGAAAAGTAAAAACTTTAAACGGGAAGATTATAAGTTAAAACTGTTTATATATTATTATAGTTTATATATTGTTATAAACCGTTAATTATATATATTTTTTAAAATAAACAATTTGAGAACTTGAAATCATTAATTGCAAACAAATTTTATTAATCTCAGAAAAATATTTACAAATATTATTACTTTTTACATCTTTAACTTTTTTTTTAATTTTTTGTTTTAGTTTCCTACTAATAAAAATAAAATATAAAGTCTTCTTTCCTTTTCTTGACACTTCTTTATATTTAATAGTAAGTTAGCTAGGTTTTTTAGAACTGTTAAAGAAGACACGGATGCGAGTTACAGTTCTAGCGCTTCTGAAAGAAAACAGACAACATCAGAAAATTTGATTCCTAAAAATTCAAAAATAAACTTAAACAAACATAAGTTTTGATGTATCAATAAAATAATTGATACATCCTAACTTATTTGATGCAAAATTGTTAATTTTGGATTTTTATTCTACAAGATTGTATTTAACGAGATTATTAAGATTAAGGTGACCAATGGTTTTATCAACTCAAGTTGAGCTTAAACCGAAATAATGTTTGAACCGAGATAAGCTGTTATAAAAATATTACCGTCAAAAAGAGTTTGCTTGACTTGTAAATAAATATAAATATAGTTTTATGAAAAAGCTAAATTTCCGTCAAGCCAAACTACCAAGTATATCTACTACACCAATTATTACCTTGATTAAAAAAACTGGTGCCTAAAAAAAATTCAGAAAGGTTGTCACATTCAGAAGAGGGTCCCACGTTAAAATTAAGTAATAAGTAAGTTGCATAAACAAAAATATATTTTTTCCTTATTTATAATTACGCAATTTTTGTAGCATAATCAGTATCAGTAAATTTATACAAATTTACCAATAAGTTCATGGGAAAATAATTTTGTAAAAGAATTTAAATTTCAAATTTATTCATGATTAAAAAAGGGCTAAGAAAATCATAAAGCTCACTCCTAATGTGTTTCCTGAAGCAACATCATTTATAGTAACTAGATATCAAATTGAAATACAACCTCAGACGCATTGTTGTTAAAGATACTTGTTAAATATAACGGTAATTAAATTTGAAAAAAGTCATGAAAATATATAAGTTATTTGAGTATTACGAGTTAACTAACGTTTTTTTTTTTTTGCTGTAGCGACAACACCAAAAGTAAAAGTGGTTAGTAACCAGTGCTTACTGCCGGAGCAATTAAGTTCTTGAGCATAAAACATAGCACACTTATATAATGGTTGTTATGTAGTTATTGCATATATAGAGTAGTTATGTCTCGTAGTGCCAGCGCAAATAAGTGTCAAATTGGGGGGTGGGGGGAGATGGGCTTGATCCAATTTTTTGACTGAAGATGTAGTTTTACGTGAGTAGACTTGTAAAGCAAGTTCAAATGATTTATAATTCAATATTAAGATACAAGTTATTTTAAAAACAAAGAAGAGAAGTAGTAGAATAGTTAGCTCAAGTCAGTTTGATAGCTGACTACAAAAGAACATGAAACCCATAATCACAATATTTATATTATGTATTCCCAATTTGTAGACAAATGGAATAAAATTTCATTACCTGGGAGAAAGGGGGAGGGGTCTTGTTATTGTCTTTTTAACATAAATTGGTCTGCTACATCAGAAATATTAAAAAAAGAGATCATTTTAAATTACAGGACCCTAAATCACGTTTACATCATAGATAAAAGGTTTGTTGCAGTAAGTTTATAAATTACCAGTTTTTTAAAGTTTCATAATTTTTGTAGCTGCAGCAGATTGAGTAACATTAAAAATTAAGCTTTAAAAACTTATTTATAAAATTCTTTTGTATATAATAACAGCGTGTGTAAGAGAGTTAATAACACAACTATGTTTATTTATGGCTTGTTTATATTATTTTAAAATTTGATACTTTTGACCAGAGCCATAACTAGGTTTTCCCTCCCTCTCCCATTCCATTATAGGGGAGGGGGAAGGGGGAAGCGAATTTAGGAACCCATTTGCAAGTTAAGAAGCTCTTTTGCAAATGTATGGAACTTTTATTTCTTTTTTTAGAAAATGGAAAAAATTCCAAGATATTGGGGCCCTTATGACAGGTTTTTTTTTTATCCAAATAGTACTATTCGTTTAACAAATAGTACTATTTGTTTTATAAATTGTAGTATTTGTTGAAAAAAAAGGAGTATTTGTTCAACGAATAATACTATTTGTTAAACAGATTAGACTTTTCGTTTAACGAATAGTTATAATCTTTTAAAGAATAGTTCTATTCATTTAACGAACAATACTATTCGATACCAAAATTTAACAAATAGATTGGGACAGAAGTTCAAGCTTGACAGCTAAGTATGTTCAACTATATATACAAAACTTTTTGCGGCATTGTCTAAAAATCAATCCAAAAGTGACAAGAGTATATAAGATAGTATATTCCATATAAAGGCAGATAAGATGTATAAACTAAAATCAAGAGTAAAAAAAGTATTACAGCAACTACAATTAAGCAAAATTAAAGGTAAGAGTGCTGCCGTTCACCAATATAAAAAATTAGCAGAACTGAGTTCTTCTAGATCAAAACCCAGGTCATTCTAAATATTTTGGCATTCTAGGCAAAGGATGTAAAAATACAATATTTGACGTCATACCAAAACTTTAATGCACACTGTTTCTTAAAACTCTTTTTGTATGGTAGAATGAGAATTTGATTTTTTTTAGTCCGCAAATGATTTTAAAGTTTAGGATTCCCTATTTTAGGGATTTTTTGTACCTTCAGCGGGAATAGTAAACTAGATTCAAATTCATCCATTCAAATGCAAGATGAACTCTTAGGATCTCATAAATCATTAATTAATTCTAGTTAGCATTCACTTTCTCTTTCACACTTTTGTGATATTAGTGGAGACACACAATGACATTAGTGGAGACTGGCTAGAGAGACAGGCCATACTTGCATTAGATGTCTGCAAAAGCTTGAAGAACAAGAATATTCTGAGAAATGATATGGTTTTGCATTAGATGTCTGCAAAAGCTTGAAGAACAAAAATATTCTGAGAAATGATATGGTAAGTTTAAAAAGATTTTGTAAGATTTAAACGAACCATTGTACCAACTTTTTTCAAAAAATTTAAAGACAAATAGGTTTTATTATTTCAGACATTGGAGCCGAGAGGGGACTATTTTGAGTTGGCAGTACTGGCCATAACGTATCTAGCTTTATTCTAGATTAGATATAGAAATAATAAATAATAAAAAGATAATTAATGGTGGGGTTTTATTGTACAGTATGCAATATTCATTTTACAAATATAGTATTAGAAATGATGAAAGTGTATTTTATATATGTTTGTACTAAACAAGCTTGATTTGAATTAAAAATAATGTTTTAATAAATTTTATTTAGGATAAGTTCCGCTATTAGCAAATGTGCCACTATGCTCAGATTGAACCTGCAGCCAGATTTAATCTGTGTGGTTTCTCCTCTCTCAGTCAATACTGAAGTAATAGAGAAACTACTTTTGGTATCTAGAACCTTCCTTGGTAGTAATGGTCTGCGCTTTCAAGGACAGTAATAACTTTGCGTAGATGCCTCCATTTACGCAAAGTTATTACTGTCCTTGAAAGCCAAAATAACATTTTTTTGATAACATTTACTATTCCCGCCAGTCACTTAAAAAAAAAAATTTTGTCTTTAAATTTGCCTGTTTTTACCCATTTTTAGCTTATTGTCGGCAATAGTAAATATTATCCAATATTGTTCATATATATATATGTGTGTGTGTGTGTCCTTCTTTTCCACAAATAATATTAGATTAAAGTTTCGGTAAAAAATGTTTAATTTTAGGTTATTTTTTTTACCATACAATTTTTTGAAAGAGACATTTTTTATGCTATGAAAAAGCTGACCTTTTTTAATTAGCTTTTTTTAAAACTAAATAACTGTTTTGCGCTTTAAGGACTTCATCGTTTTTCGTAATGCTTCATTGATCATATTCTATTGAAATTAATTGTTTGAATGACTTTTGCTGAAGTCGTAAAACGTTGGTGCGTTTGAATTTTTCAAATACTAATAAAAATTTTTAATAAAACTTAAATAATTTTTTTTTTAATAAAATTTATTTTTGTTTTAAACTTCCTAATATTTTGTCAAAACTTATTTTGTATTATTATATTTACTCGTATATCACAAGCATCGTTAATATATGTGAAATGCCTTATAATCACTTTGATTCATAGATAACATTTATCGTCAAGATGTAGTCAAAACAATTTGTTCTTTTGACTAGTGTATATAAATTTTTTTTATAAACGTTTGACTATTTTAATACTTTTTTTTTTTCATTCTCATTTAATATTTTTTATCTTTAAAAAAAAAACATGTCTTCAGAAGTATTAACTACGAAAAGCGACGTATTTTTTTTAAAAATATAGTGAAACTATTATTAAAGCTGTTTTATCATTTGTTTTACCATTGATTATCATAGAATTTTATAACTTAAAGTACAATCTGATTTTTAGAAGTTAACAGATTACTACTCTTAAAAGACTTGTTAGTTTTAGAAAAAAACGTTACGACTCATTCATAGCACAAAGAGGCTCTTTCATTGACAAGATGTTATGAAAGAGCTGATTTCTCTCTTTTTTTAAAATAGGTGTATTAGCATTGTTATCCAATTTATTTTAATTTTATAATATTACCCAATAACGTAACTGTTTAATTAAAAAAATTTTTTTTTTTTAATTAATCAAAATTGACTTTTTTTCATACCCCTAAAACTGGCTCTTTCATACACACCCTCCCCTACACAGAGCAGAAGGCCAAGGTTTTGTTTTTCACTGAATAAAAGCCACTATGAAGAGATAGAGTAATGGCTGAAATACCTCCAATGTATGTTTATCTGAAGGAGAAAGAAAAACCTCTCGTTGGACTCTGTTCAGCATTCTAGGCCTTACCATGTAGCAGTGTATTTGGATGGAATTACCGCATCAGTTTTAGTATTAGTTTCCCGGATACATCACGCTCCAGGAGTTTGTGAATTGATGTTGTTTGCTTAACGAAAGCATCATAGAAAAAAATCCGCTA